TATTGGTTCAAATACCTCTTGAGAGAAATTATCTTTCCTGAGCATCCTATATAAAATGCGGTGCAGGTTTCTATTGTTTCTGTCATTTTCTGTCATTCTGAACTGTTAATTATTTCCTCTACTAGTATATATGTGAGCTCGCAAGAGCAGGAGCTTTGTTTTCTTACTGCTGAATCCTGAGAATAATGTCTGACTCAAATAGCACCCACTATGTATTCATTGAATGGATGAATAAATAAATGTATGTGCTGACAGTTTTATGTTTAAAAAAATCTTGAAAAGCAGTAAGATAAATTGCTTCTTGAACTTAACTATAACCAGCCAAGGGGAGCTGGTTAGTAAGGTATATATGACAGGAACTTCTAAAGAAAATGACCTTGTCATCAAAGAGCTTGTACTATACAAGTAAGAGAATTCTGGGTCTAGATATTTACCCTAGACTTTATGAAAACAGGCTTCAGAAACTTAATTGACCTTAAAGACTGCTTGAGCGCTTCAAAGGAAAGACAGCACTTGATCTGTGAGTCAGATTGAGATTTTGACTGTGTAAATAAGATAAATGCCAGTGAAAAATATGGAATAGCTGAAATCTTGATTGTTCTAGAATTAGGAAAAAGGCTCTTTAATCATTGACAATAACATAAAAGTTAAAAATGGAAGGTTAGAGCCCAACACTTGACAGAATCCTGAAAACAACATAGAGATTGCCACAGGGAGAGCCTTTTTGTAACATTCAGTGTCAGGAGAAGAAGGCTTTAGACACTGTTGGAGACATGATGACTTGTTAACAGATAAAGAGAAAATACAATTATTTGGTTGTCTTTTCTGTTGGGAAAAATTCTTTTGAAAGTCTTGATAGAAAAGGTGAAAAATAAATGACTTACAGGTTAAAGAGTTAATATTTAAGATATTAAAAACAGAACAACCAGAAAGGGTGGGTAGTCTTAAATTGAGAGGAGCTGGAGTTAACACTTGTGTCTGCCGTTTACTAAGTTTTTCAGGCAAATCTAGAGACCTTTTAGAGTTTGTTTTCTTGGAGAGTATCTGCCTTGTACACAGTAGGTACTGCATAAATTTTTGTGACATGAGTGAGTGTGTTATTCATAGAGTTGTGATAATCGGATGAGATCATCCATGTTTCATAAACTAAAACAAAAGGAAAAAATACTAATATCTAATATTTTGAACTGTGGTGTTGGAGAAGACTCTGGAGAGTCCTTTGGACTGCAAGGAAATCAAACCAGTCCATCCTGAAGGAAATCAGTCCTAAGTGTTCATAGGAAGGACTGATGCTGAAGCTAAAACTCCAATACTTTGGCCACCTGGTGCAGAAAACTGATTCATTGGAAAAGACCCTGATGCTGGGAAAGATTGAAGGCAGGAGGAGAAGGGGATGACAGAGGATGAAGATGGTTGGATGGCATCACCGACTCGATGGACATGAGTTTGAGTAAATTCTGGGAGTTGGTGATAGACAGGGAGGCCTAGTGTGCTGCAGTCCATGGGGTCGCAAAGAGTCAGACATGACTGAGGACTGAACTAAACTGAACTGATCTAATATTTATTATCTTTACTGTTGTATGTAAGCCAACCATGGTATGTTATTTTTACCTAATTCTGACAGTGGCCCTTTGAAAGTAGGTGCTGTGACTGTCCCCAGTTTATAGATTAGGAAGCAAATCCCTTTTTTCTTATAATCATATTTGCTGCCTCTCTAGGGGAAATCACATTTAGAAGGGAAGGAGGATTGCTTAACTTTGCTAATATGCTAACTGTGTAAGCTGAAATTATTGAGCTACTATTTAACATTTAATTTGTAGTCATTTGTATAGATAGCAATATGTAGTGTTTATGAAATATTCGGTGATGGCAATGTAAAGTCTTACAACTCCTTTGGGAAAGATTTTAGCAGTAGTGTCATGAGTCTTAAATTCCATGATCATTGCCTCCTTAGGAGGTAATTTCAGAAGAAAAACTATGTGTCCAGATTTTTAAAGTAAGATCATTTAATAGACTGTCATAAAACTTTATGTCCTTTTTAACATTTAATCTGCTACTACTTCAGTATGGATAGGGAAGGCATTCTTAGCATAGATCCAAATGATTCAGAGCTGGGGAGGATGATATGATGAGTCTGTCAGGTTTCTTCTGTTGTCATATTATTTGCTAGGTGTCAGTCCTCTCCTGTCAGTTGTTAAGATGATCAGTTTTCAAAAAGAAAGACTTGTCAACAGAATTGAAATTGAGTGGCAGTCTAGACTAAATCATTGGGTCTAGCCCCTTTTCCCTGGCACCACGATTCTTGATTACCAGTGACCATTGAATTAATCTGGTTTTGTTGTTGTTTAGTCCCTGTGTTGCATCTGACTCTTTTGTGACACCATGGACTGTAGCCCCCCAGGCTCCTCTGTCCATGGAACTTCCCAGCCAAGAATACTGGAATGGGTTGCCATTTCCTTCCCAGGGGGACCTTCCTGATCCAGGGATTGAACCCACATCTCCTGTGTCTCCTGCATTGGCAGGTGAATTCTTTACCACTGAGCCATAGGTTTTAATAATTCATGATTTATTTCCTGGCCATCTTTATCTTTACTTTTCTGTAGAAATGCTCATCTTTGGTCTATAGTTTTTCTTTGCTTCATCTTTTTTCTCACTGCCTGATGATCTGGGTACTAGTCATCTCGTGTTTTAGCTGGCTAGCACAATTTACTTCCATGAGTAGTTGATAGCAGAAACATCACTGCTGGTTCAGTAACAACTGCTGAGTGGCTCTGTGTTGCCTCATTCTCTAGTAGAGTGGTTCCTTGTGTAGTTGCTCATCTTTCTGGCGTATGAGAACTCTTGCCTCTTTTTGTCATGCTCTGTGGACTAGAGTATTTTCCAGAGCTCCAATTATTATGATTGAAGCTTTTTTTGTTATCTGCTGCACGGAGTGATAAAATTTAAAGAAAAAAACCAAAACTTTTAAACACCTGGGATTCAAAAACTTTTTCTTGCACGTTTATTTTGGATATGTATTTTGTATTTAAGTTGCTCTAGTTTTTATACTTATGTGGTTATTTAACAAATTCTTTCCCTCTTTTCCATGCTTTGTATCTTAGGTAGATGATAAAATGCTCAGCTTTCAGGAGGAGGTTTGATTTTTCAAAGTATAAGAATCTAGAAAAGTTAGTAGTTTAGAATGGCATTTTCCATTTTGTCATCTTCAGAATGCTAGTCCTATTAGATGGTCCCTACTGCAAATCACGCCCTCTGAGTAGTCCTTATTCATATATAGTGTTAAAGATCTAAAAAGTCAGGTAGAAAAAAAAAACCACAACAACCTGTTAAACTTTAAATCTCATTGTTTCCAAAATTTATTTAACAATGGAACCCATTTAAACAACCAGTCAACACTCTGTAGGACTCTCAAAAAATAATTGGGAAATAACGTCCCAGAGTAACTAGTTTAGAGGTCTGCGGACAACCCTGAAAAATTTCAAGCATAGTAAAGACTGTGAATTTTGTACTGGAAATGGAGTCTAGTACAGGAGTTGGCAGACTTTTTCTGAAGGCCAGATAGTAATTATTTTCACCTGCTTGGGTCGTATGGCCCTTGTTGAAGCTGTTCAACTCTGCTGTGAAAGCAGCCATAGGTAGTGCTAACGTGAGTGAGTATGACTGTTCTAGTAAGACTACACAGAAACTAGCTGTAGACCAGTAGTGTGCTGTCCCCTCATCTAGCAGGTGTGTGTTTTTTCATAGCAGGTCAAGGAGAGATGGAAAGCACTTTATGATCCTCTTGTACCAGCTCCGAGTTTTACAGTGTGGTTTACTGACTTTTAAGCTGAAGTGTTGAACAGGTTAAGATTTGTATGGCTAATGCCTGTTTCCTCAAATTACTCATATTTGAGTAAGGAATTTGGCCACCTGATTCGAAGAGCTGACTCATTTGCAAAGACCCTGATGCTGGGAAAGATTGAGGGCAGGAGGAGAAGGGATGATGAGATAGTTGGTTGGATGGCATCACTGACTCAATGGACATGAGTTTGGGTAAACTCTGGAAGTTGGTGACGGACAGGGAGGCCTGGCATGCTGTGGTTCATGTGGTTGCAAAGAGTCGGACATGACTGAGTGACTGAACTGAACTGAACTGAGTAAGGAGTTAGAGGGGAAGTTCATCTTCAGGATTTACATTGAGAAATTGTATACTAGAAATTTTTTTTAAAGAGTTTTATGTGGCATTGACTTCTGGTCTTCTATTTCATGTCCATAACACTTTGAAGAAAGGAGATTACCACACACAGTGTTTTTTGTCTTTTGCAAGATGTGTGTGAATGATGGGGTGGTATGTGTTTTAATCTCAGTGAGCTAAACTGTAATTCTACTGTTATTAAATGGTTAGAAGGCATCAATTTGATAAAATAGCACAGGAAGTATATTGCATGTGTGTAGCATTTATGTATAAAACTATCAATAATACAATTGAAAATGTTTATATTCTCTTCCCTGGTAGATCCCTCTTTGGGGACTTTTATCTTAAGGAAGCACTCTGAAATTTGGAAAAAGCTGTACTCTCAGAGAATGCTTATTTAATACAGAAAAAAGTTAGGGATAACTGAGTACCTGACAAGGACTGTCTATATAATTTATATACCACTAGGTGAAATTTTATGCATCTATTTTTTTAACTGGTATCTATTAAAAATAATATTAACCTGCTGGATAAAAATATTAGCACTCTTGGTATAGGAAATTTTAAAATGTTAATTAAAACATATATATATGTACATATATATATGAAAAAATTATATAAATATGATGACAACATTAGTTTTTTCCCCCATGATGAGACTTTGGGAGATTTAAGCTCTTTTTTTTTTGCATATTTTTCAAGTTGTACTAAGTATACATTTGTATTTTTTAATGAAGATAAAATGTATTTTTAGTAATCTGTTTATAACTTATAAACAGTGAACGGTTTATAACTAATAGCAATTTCTTTTGAATATTTCTTCCAGAGAGTAGCAGATCGACTATATGGTGTGTATAAAGTACATGGGAATTACGGACGAGTTTTCAGGTATGCATTATACAAACTTTTATAATAAACAACAGTTAGCTCTAATCAGCTTTTTGCATAAGAACTGTAATTCTTGAATCTATATGAGTCTGCAAAGCAAAAGATAATTTTTTTTTTTAAATTTTTATTTATTTATTTTTTTATTATTCTTTTTTTTTAAATTTATTTATTTATTTTTTTTTATCACAACCATAGTGTATCTTTTTTTTTTTTTTACATGTATTCCCCATCCCGGTCCCCCCTCCCACCTCCCTCTCCACCCAATCCCTCTGGGTCTTCCCAGTGCACCAGGCCCGAGCACTTGACTCATGCACCCAACCTGGGCTGGTGATCTGTTTCACCTTAGATAATATACGTGTTTCAATGCTGTTCTCTTGAAACATCCCACCCTCGCCTTCTCCCGGAGTCCACAAGTCTGTTCTATACATAGGAGTCTCTTTTTCTGTTTTGCACATAGGGTTAGAAATAGAAAATAGAAAGGAAATAGAAGAGAAAAACGAAAAAAACACTTTTTTCCCTAAATAAAAAAATCGTAAAAATATATGAAAATGAAAGTTGAGGACTAATGGGGGAGTAATAGGGAATTTTAAAAGAAAATAAAAGAGAAAAAATAAAAGAAATTAATAAGGGAGAAAAAAAATTTTTTTAAATTAAAAAAAAATATATATATATATCTAGGAATTTCTCTGGAGTTGTTGCAGTTAGTATAGGTTCAGTTCCATTTCAGATAGCTCCTCTTTCCAGCTTACACTTCTCGATATCTGTAGGCCCCTTCCTGTGTAGTCGGTGTTACCTTCAGGGATTTTAATCTGTTGCACCAGTCCTTTCTGAAGTGGTTCCCTTTGTTTATTTGGCTTCTGTTTGCCGTCTCTTTGGTGTCTAATTTCCGCCCTGACACAGGCGGGTGGAGGTGATCTCTTATTTAGGTTCTCTAGTTCAGTTTAGTCCTGCTACGGGGAGGGCGGGGCGCTGCAGACAGATACCGCTCTGTGTGGATAGCACTCACCGTGTTCCGGTCACACTGGGTTTGCCCCACTCACGGGTGTCAGTGCTTTCGCCGTCTACACTGCTCAGGCTCCCGGCTGCTCTATATGGAGCGGGCCCTGCGTTGAGTGCGGTTCCAGTTTTCAGGTACTCCACAAAAGCGCAGATTCGGTTGCGCCTGCGTTTTGTGCCTTCCCCGGCCTGAGCGGCCCAGGCAGCCAGAGGCTTGGGCGCACTCTCCCCGGGTACGGCGCGCCTTGTCCCTCCGCGGTGAGCGGCTCAGGCAGCCAGAGGCTTGGGCGTACTCTCGCTGGGTGCAGCGCGCCTTGTCCCTCCGCGGCGGGCAGCTCAGGCAGCCAGAGGCTTGGGCGCACTCTCCCCGGGTACGGCGCGCCTTTTCCCTCCGCGGCCCCAGCGCGCACCGCCAGTCGGGTCTCAGAAGTCTTTAGATAGGAACCGGGGGCCTGTTTGCAGTGTGGGAGGGGGTGGCTTCTCTGGGGCTGAGTTTGCCCTTTTCCCCTCCGCCCTGCCTCCAACCTCCAGCGGGGATGGGCCGGCTCTTCTCTGGACTTTCTCAGACCCTTTGTTTTGCCAACCGCCGGCAGTGTGTTCGGGCCTGTTAATTTTGACCCTTGCTATCCCACAGTTTAAAAAAGCTCCCTCCGATTGCTCTCAGGGTCTTCGGGCCGGTCCTTACCCTAAGCAATGCCGCCCGCTCCTCTCCGTCCCGCCCCCGCTTGTTGCTGGCGGGTACGGGCGTCTGGGGTACTTTTCTGCTGGGAGTTGCTTTTAGGCACGTAATCTGTGGGCCTTGTTGAATTTTTCCTCCCAGTTAGATTGCCGAAAACTTCCCCCAGTCCCGCCAGTGCGAGGGTTTCCTGGTGATTGGAAACTTCCTCTATTAAGACTCCCTTCCCGGGACGGGTCTCCTGAGTCCCTTTTTATCTTTTATATTTTGTCCTCCCTCCCTTCGAAGACAATGGGCTGCTTTTCTGGGCGCCTGATGTCCTCTGCTAGCGATCAGAAGTTGTTTTGTGAAATTTGCTCAGCATTCAAATGTTCTTTCGATGAATTTGTAGGAGAGAAAGTGGTCTCCCCGTCCTATTCCTCCGCCATCTTGGCTCCTTCCCTTTTTTTTTGTTGTTTCACTTTATAATTTCTGAGGCTTTTGCAAGATGGGTTTTTCAGTCTTGGGGTAATATTAGTGTAAATTAGAATGTTTACTTATATATGTAACTTGCATATGTTGGTAATTTTTGAGACTTTTCTTTTGTGAAGTTTTGTTAATTATTTTAGTTGTGAAATTTTAGTAGTTATTATCCATATCTCCTTGTGAGAAAGACTGTGCTTCCTAATGTTCTGTCCTTTTGATTGAAGTAATAAAAAATAATTCATTTAACATGTTTGAATAGGTAGTATATTCATATAATACAAAACTCAATAGGAACGAAAGCTTACATAGTGAAAAGTCTCTGCTCCTTCTTGCCAACCTCCCAGGTCTCTTCCTCTGAGGCAATTACTAGCAGTTTCTGAGTTACTTGTGTATCCTTCCAGTAAAATGTATTGCAGCACTGTCAATGTATATATTAACACACAAACAAATGCATTCTACTCCCTCCCCCCCCCTTTTTTTAACATGGAAAGGGAGCATATTGTGTATATTGCTATGTTCACTTCTTTTATGTTGCTTTTTTTAACTTAACAATTGTTATCAGCAAATAACTGTATTGGGCTTTATTGAGCTGGAGCATCATAATTTATTTAACCAGTTTCTTCTTGATAATTATTTCTAATCTGTTGCATTCAGTGCTTTAATTAATGTTCATGTTCATGTCATTTCACACATGATTGAGTATATATGTAGGGTAAAATTCTACAAATGTTGTTACTGGATCTAAGGATAATTGAGTTGGTAGATACTGCCAAATTTCCCTGTATGGAAGATATTCAACTCCCATCATCAAAAGGTTAATATCTATTTCCTCAGATCCTCACCCAAACAATTTTTAGTGAACTTTTGTCTTTATCAGCCTGATGGTGAAAAATGCCTTCTCACTGTAGTTATAATTTGTATTACTCTAATTATGAATGAAGTTAAACTTTTTTCCTGATGATTAATAGCCTCTATTTTATTTTATTCTTTTAATTTCATAAACTGTCTGTATGTATCTTTGGCCGTTTTTTCCTGTTGGGCTGGTAGCCTGTTTTCTTATTTGATTTGCAGGAGTTGTTTATCTTTTAGGAGAATTATACCTTTGTGAAATGGATTGCAACTTTCCCCCCACTTTGTCATATGTCTCTTGACTTTTCTTATGTGGCTTTTAATATACAAAAATATTCAATCTGTTAAATTCAGTTGACATGCAGGTGATTAGTTTTTTTTCCTTTATAAAGTCATAGCCTCTGACTTTTTGTATATCTTAGTAAGGTCTCCCCCTTATGAATAATAAAGCATACATTTTTCATTTCTTCTGTATTTTTGTGGTTCTGTCAATTTTGGATTCATCTGAAATTTATCTGAATATCAGTGTTAAGACGTAGCACACACAGCCAAAAAAAAAGAATCATATTGTAAACAGCCAGCACTAAAAAAGGATTAACTGTTGCTATTACTATTTTGAGAGTAAACATGAGTAAAATTATCAGGAGGTATGTTTATTTATGTTTGTTTTCCTTCCTTGACAGTTTTAAAAACCATGTGAGGGTTTTCCTTTCTAGTATTATAAGCATATAATCTTGATATTTCAAGAACAATTTATAAAGACTACAGATTAACAGAATCATAGTGTTTTAATTTTTTTATGATATTATGCAGTTGAAGGTGTTTATTACACATTCTTTACATAGCAGAAAAATTGGAAACAATCTTGAATGGTTCAGAAAATGGTTAAAAAAATTAAGAGTTGCCACTGAAACAATGCTGAGAACAAATTAATAATGTGGGGAAATACTGTTAACAAGAAAAAACATGGTACAAAGTTGCATCTACTACATGATCTCAGCCATATTAAAATAAGTAAAAATAACTAGAAGAAAATATATCAAATTATACCATCTCTTAGTATTTAAGATTATAGATCTTTCCCCCCTTTATTATAATATATACATCTTCCATAAAAAGGAATTTTTATTTCAGGAATTTCACTGAAATGGTAACAAAATCATCTGTGGTTCCAGTAGACTTTGTTGTGCAACTTTAGTGCAAGTTACTGAAGTTTTATGGTACACCCAGTATTTCTGTACAGTTGTCTTTTTCTGCTCCCTATTAAGATAGTGACATGTAATCATGTGTGGTTATCACAGTCATTCATGTAGAGTTTAAAAATATACATGCCTCAGCTCTATCCTAGAAATTCTGATTAAGTAGATCAAGAGCAGGACAAGCATTCATAGTTTCTGAAAGCTCCACGGTTGATTTAAATAGGCACTGTAGCTGAGAAAGTTGTCTGTAAGCAGAAACTGTTTTGTATGATACTAACTTTGTACTTAACTGCAGATATAAACTTTTGAATTAGTATTTTTAAAGCCTTCACTTGCATTTAGTTGTTAAACTTCAGGGGAAAGGAGCATATTTGAGTCACAGAAAATAAATGGTCAAGAAAAAAATAAAATAGATATGATACTGTTTAAAAGTTAACTAGGAAAAAAACATAAAAGATTCTGTTTAATAATATTGCATATCCAATTCATGACAGTTTTGGTTTTATCTCTTTCTTCATAGTGAGTGGAGTGCCATAGAAAAAGAAATGGGTGATGGACTGCAGAGTGAGTGCTGGTCATCATATGGATGTGTAAGTACCCAGAGAATTTAAGGTAGAACTGGAGGTGACATTTAGTGCAAAAGTGTTAGTGATTCTTCTGTTTTTAAAAAGGTTACTGGCATTTGTATTGTGCTTTCTGTATACAGATTTGACTTAAAGAAGTTTATCTCAGGAATGCAAGATTAACATTTAAAAATCTTTCAGTTCAGTTCAAATGTTAGCAGAACAGAGAAGAAAATCCAGATGTTCATTTCAGTGTATGTAGAAAGCATTTTAACATCCATTCACAGTAAAAATTTTCCTCAAACTAGGAATATAAAGAATTTCCTCATTGTAAAACATACAGCTAATACTGTACTTAATAGTAAAATATTGATGTTTTCTCCTAAAATCAGGAATAAGGCAAGATTGTCTGCTCCACCACTACTGGTGGAAGTGGTAGCAGAGGTCCTGGTCAGCGCAGTAAGGCAAGAAGATCAGATAAGTGGCATACGTCTTAGAAAGGAAGAAGGAAAACTGTCCTGCCTTTATTGGCAGTTAACAGGATTTTTCTTTTTTATTTATTTATTTATTTTCATTTATTTTTATTAGTTGGAGGCTAATTACTTTACATCATTGCAGTGGTTTTTGTCATACATTGAGATGAATTAGCCATGGATTTACATGTATTCCCAATCCCGGTCCCCCCTCCCACCTCCCTCTCCACCCGATCCCTCTGGGTCTTCCCAGTGCACCAGGCCCGAGCACTTGTCTCATGCACCCAACCTGGGCTGGTGATCTGTTTCACCCTAGATGATATACGTGTTTCGATGCTGTTCTCTTGAAACATCCCACCCTCGCCTTCTCCCAGAGTCCACAAGTCTGTTCTATACATCGGAGTCTCTTTTTCTGTTTTGCATATAGGGTTATCATTATCATCTTTCTAAATTCCATATATATGTGTTAGTATACTGTAATGGTCTTTATCTTTCTGGCTTACTTCACTCTGTATAATGGGCTCCAGTTTCATCCATCTCATTAGAACTGATTCAAATGAATTCTTTTTAATGGCTGAGTAATATTCCATGGTGTATATGTACCACAGCTTCCTCATCCATTGGTCTGCTGATGGGCATCTAGGTTGCTTCCATGTCCTGGCTATTATAAACAGTGCTGCGATGAACATTGGGGTGCACGTGTCTCTTTCAGATCTGGTTTCCTCGGTGTGTATGCCCAGAAGTGGGATTGCTGGGTCATATGGCAGTTGTATTTCCAGCTTTTTAAGAAATCTCCACGCTGTTTTCCATAGTGGCTGTACTAATTTGCATTCCCACCAACAGTGTAAGAGGGTTCCCTTTTCTCCACACCCTCTCCAGCATTTATTGCTTGTAGACTTTTGGATAGCAGCCATCCTGACTGGTGTGTAATGGTACCTCATTGTGGTTTTGATTTGCATTTCTCTGATAATGAGTGATGTTGAGCATCTTTTCATGTGTTTGTTAGCCATCTGTATGTCTTCCTTGGAGAAATGTCTGTTCAGTTCTTTGGCCCCTTTTTTGATTGGGTCATTTATTTTTCTGGAGTTGAGTTGGAGGAGTTGCTTGTATATTTTTGAGATTAATCCTTTGTCTGTTGCTTCGTTTGCTATTATTTTCTCCCAATCTGAGGGCCGTCTTTTCACCTTGCTTATAGTTTCCTTTGTTGTGCAAAAGCTTTTAAGTTTCATTAGGTCCCATTTGTTTATTTTTGCTTTTGTTTCTAAAATTCTGGGATGTGGGTCATAGAGGATCCTGCTGTGATTTATGTCGGAGAGTGTTTTGCCTATGTTCTCCTCTAGGAGTTTTATAGTTTCTGGTCTTACATTTAGATCTTTAATCCATTTTGAGTTTATTTTTGTGTATGGTGTTAGAAAGTGTTCTAGTTTCATTCGTTTACAGGTGGTTGACCAGTTTTCCCAGCACCACTTGTTAAAGAGGTTGTCTTTTTTCCATTGTATATCCTTGCCTCCTTTGTCGAAGATAAGGTGACCATAGGTTCGTGGATTTATCTCTGGGCTTTCTATTCTGTTCCATTGATCTATATTTCTGTCTTTGTGCCAGTACCATACTGTCTTGATGACTGTGGCTTTGTAGTATAGTCTGAAGTCAGGCAGGTTGATTCCTCCAGTTCCATTCTTCTTTCTCAGGATTACTTTGGCTATTCGAGGTTTTTTGTATTTCCATACAAATTGTGAAATTATTTGTTCTAGTTCTGTTTTCTATTCCTGCTTTCTGGAGAGTTTTAATCATAAATGGATGTTGAATTTTATCAAAGGCTTTTTCTGCATCTATTGAGATAATCATATGGTTTTTATCTTTCAATTTGTTAATGTGGTGTATTACATTGATTGATTTGCAGATATTAAAGAATCCTTGCATTCCTGGGATAAAGCCCACTTGGTCATGGTGTATGATTTTTTTAATATGTTGTTGGATTCTGTTTGCTAGAATTTTGTTAAGGATTTTTGCATCTATGTTCATCAGTGATACTGGCCTGTAGTTTTCTTTTTTTGTGGCATCTTTGTCTGGTTTTGGAATTAGGGTGATGGTGGCCTCGTAGAATGAGTTTGGAAGTTTACCTTCTTCTGCAATTTTCTGGAAGAGTTTGAGTAAGATAGGTGTTAGCTCTTCTCTAAATTTTTGGTAGAATTCAGCTGTGAAGCCATCTGGTCCTGGGCTTTTGTTTGCTGGAAGAGTTCTGATTACAGTTTCGATTTCCTTGCTTGTGATGGTTTTGTTAAGATCTTCTATTTCTTCCTGGTTCAGTTTTGGAAAGTTATACTTCTCTAAGAACTTGTCCATTTCTTCCAAGTTGTCCATTTTATTGGCATAGAGCTGCTGGTAGTAGTCTCTTATGATCCTTTGTATTTCGGTGTTGTCTGTTGTGATCTCTCCATTTTCGTTTCTAATTTTGTTAATTTGGTTCTTCTCCCTTTGTTTCTTAATGAGTCTTGCTAATGGTTTGTCAATTTTGTTTATTTTTTCAAAAAACAAGCTTTTAGCTTTGTTGATTTTTGCTATGGTCTCTTTAGTTTCTTTTGCATTTATTTCTGCCCTAATTTTTAAGATTTCTTTCCTTCTACTAACCCTGGGGTTCTTCATTTCTTCCTCCTCTAGTTGCTTTAGGTGTAGAGTTAGGTTATTTATTTGACTTTTTTCTTGTTTCTTGAGGTAGGCCTGTAATGCTATGAATCTTCCCCTTAGCACTGCTTTTACAGTGTCCCATAGGTTTTGGGTTGTTGTGTTTTCATTTTCATTCATTTCTATGCATATTTTGATTTCTTTTGTGATTTCTTCTATGATTTGTTGGTTATTCAGAAGCGTGTTGTTTAGCCTCCATATGTTTGAAGTTTTAATAATTTTTTCCTGTAATTAATCTAATCTTACTGCACTGTGGTCAGAAAAGATGACTGGAATGATTTCAACCTTTTTGAATTTACCAAGACTAGATTTATGGCCCAGGATGTGATCTGTTCTGGAGAAGCTTCCGTGTGCACTTGAGAAAAAGGTGAAGTTGATTGTTTTGGGGTGAAACGTCCTATAGATGTCAATTAGGTCTAGCTGGTCCATTGTGTCCTTTAAAGTTTGTGTTTCCTTGTTCATTTTCTGTTTAGTTGATCTATCCATAGTTGTGAGTGGGGTATTAAAGTCTCCTACTATTATTGTGTTACTATTAATTTCCTCTTTCATACTCGTTAGCGTTTGCCTTACATATTGCGGTGCTCCTATGTTGGGTGCATATATATTTATAATTGTTATATCTTCTTCTTGGATTGATCCTTTGATCATTATGTAGTGTCCTTCTTTGTCTCTTTTCACAGTCTTTATTTGAAAGTCTATTTTATCTGATATGAGTATTGCGACTCCTGCTTTCTTTTGGTCTCCGTTTGCGTGGAATATTTTTTTCCAGCCCTTCACTTTTACTCTGTATGTGTCCCTTGCTTTGAGGTGGGTCTCTTGTAGACAGCATATATAGGGGTCTTGCTTTTGTATCCATTCAGCCAGCCTTTGTCTTTTGGTTGGGGCATTCAACCCATTTACATTGAAGGTAATTATTGATAGGTATGGTCCCATTGCCATTTATTTTGTTGTTTGGGGTTCACGTTTATACCACCTTTCTGTGTTTCCTGTCTAGAGAAGATCCTTTAGTATTTGTTGAAGAGCTGGTTTGGTGGTGCTGAATTCTCTCAGCTTTTGCTTGTCTGTAAAGCTTTTGAGTTCTCCTTCATATCTGAATGAGATCCTTGCTGGGTAGAGTAATCTAGGTTGTAGGTTATTCTCTTTCATTACTCTTAAGTATGTCCTGCCATTCCCTTCTGGCCTGAAGGGTTTCTATTGATAGATCAGCTGTTATCCTTATGGGAATCCCTTTGTGTGTTATTTGTTGTTTCTCCCTTGCTGCTTTTAATATTTGTTCTTTGTGTTTGATCTTTGTTAATTTGATTAATATGTGTCTTGGGGTGTTTCGCCTTGGGTTTATCCTGTTTGGGACTCTGTGGGTTTCTTGGACTTGGGTGGCTGTTTCCTTCCCCATTTTAGGGAAGTTTTCAGCTATCATCTCCTCGAGTATCTTCTCATGGCCTTTCTTTTTGTCTTCTTCTTCTGGGACTCCTATGATTCGAATGTTGGGGCGTTTCACATTGTCCCAGAGGTCCCTGAGGTTGTCCTCATTTCTTTTGATTCTTTTTTCTTTTTTCCTCTCTGCTTCATTTATTTCCACCATTTTATCTTCTACCTCACTTATCCTATCTTCTGTCTCTGTTATTCGACTCATGGTTCCCTCCAGAGTGTTTTTGATCTCATTTATTTCATTATTAATTTTTAATTGACTTTTTTTTTATTTCTTCTAGGTCCTTGTTAAACCTTTCTTGCATCTTCTCAATCTTTGTCTCCAGGCTATTTATTTGTAACTCCATTTTGTTTTCAAGATTTTGGATCATTTTTATTATCATTATTCTAAATTCTTTTTCAGGTAGATTCCCTATTTCCTCCTCTTCTGTTTGACTTGGTGGG